ATAATAATAATAATAATAATAATAATAATAATAATAATAATAATAATAATAATAATAATAATGTTTCATATTTCAGTGAAATGGAGTAACATATTATATATTATAATAAAAACTAACAAGAAACCAAGCTGTGGGGGCTTTGACAGAGTTACATTCACCCACTTTTGCAAGGCAGCTATGTGAGACCCTAGAACAGCATATATTACATCTCTTCTCCACAAGCTGCGTTGGTTGCCGGTTTCTCTCTGGGTCCAATTCAAGGTGCTGGTTTTGACCTTTAAAGCCCTTCATCACACAAGGATGGGTTATTTGAGAGATCACTTTCTCCCAAATGTATCTGCCATCCTGTGAAATCCAGTAGAAGAGATATGCCGCCAGTCCTGTCTGTGAAACAATTTCATCTGGTGGAACATTGTCCCCAACTCACACACACCCCTTCCATGTGAGGTTGGCTCCATCCTTGATATCCTTCCAGAAATCCTTTAAAACATAGCTGTGTCATCAGGCTTCAGGATTTCAAGGAAATGGGTACATTTGCTTCAGGAGATGGCTACATTGCTTTTAGCATCAATTCTCTCCATTATCCTGTTATTAATAATATTGTTAAAGTCTTTTAATGGTAGGTTTTTTTAACATTTGGATTTTATAACTGTTTTTATTTTAAGCCATATAAAGTCACTTTATTGTGAGATGGGAGTCTACATACGTAAGATAGGTAGATGATAGATAGATAGATAGATAGATAGATAGATAGATAGATAGATAGATAGATAGATAGATAGAGATATGATAGATTTATAAATCAGAGATTCGCCCAATCTTTTGTAGTCTTTGATATATTTAGATTTTTTGAAAAAATAGTTACCACTATAGTGAATGTTGCAATGAAGACAAGAACTCTGCATTTTGAAAAGGATTAGCAAGAACTGCACCAGATCTCATACAAGCACAGTACTTTTCTCCTTTTAATTAAAGTATCCACATCAATTTTCAGTGTTCTAAAAAAAGTATTGCTAATTCAAAGTTGTCTTTAATGAGTTAATTCCTTAAAACAGCCACATTTTCCCAGGCTTATGCTCATAGAGGTGCTTGGATTGTATGAGATCTAAAGGATTTCTTTCTAATTATTTTCAGAGTATGGACAGCTATAACAGACTGCGTCACAACATGCTTTTCCAGTAAGCAAACTGGTGAGGCTAAAAAAACAAATTGCATATCAAATTATATACAAGACACAGTTTATACACACACACAGACAGACACAAATACTCAAACTTTATCGTGTAAACACATCCTAGAATAAATTATTTTGAACCTGAAACATAGACTTTAGTTATACCCATTGAACGAATAGAACATTTCTCATGAACATTAAAATTTAAGGTGTGGCAACCATCATCAATAAAATTCAAGGAAAAATGTTTCATGATGTGATAGATGAAGCCACTTTCTTATTTGAATTCGCAGTATGGGGAAAAACTGTAGTAAATTGAGACACATTTTGGGAAATGCTTGCATTTAATATGTTCCACTTGTTTTCTGGCTATAATCAAGTGTGGTTCCTTCCAGTTATTTAAGGAAGGACATTGTAATTCAGCTGCATGTAATTCTTAAGAGTGAAATCTCTACACAAATTCAGTTCACAGAAACTAATATCTCCAGAGGAAAATTAATATAAGCCTTGATAAACTTAACAGACTTAATATCTTCATGGCAAACAAAATTCACTTAAACTAAGGATGATCTATTAACAGTACAAAGTGCTTGGCATGCTGTTGTATATAAAACGGGAACTCCTAAGGAAAATTCAAGAAATGAACTGATTGCATTCTGTTTTGAGTGAAAGTGATCAGGTTGCACATAACAAGATTTTGTTACGTGGATATGATATTAATTCCTTGAGAATTTAAACATGAAATAATCAGACATATAAATATATAAAACATTTTTCAGGTGCAATAATTTATTATTTTTGTTATTGATTTGTCATAGCATATTTTGTGGAAAATATGATAATGCTATCATTTTTAGACCTTAATGTGACTTACTTTTGATTGGAGATTTCCAAGAACACAGTAAGAACACAGAACACAGTAGAATAAGAACACAGTAGAATATCAATTCCTTTTAAAAATAGAAAATAGTGCATACCTCATCAACTTGTCCAACAGCTCCAAAAATCTTTGCCATTTGCCCTATCAAATTAGGAAAAGTCTCCCCAGTTTCTTTCAGTACAGGCAGTAGATTGGCCAACAGTTCTGGTTCATAATCTGATATTTCTATGAATATGTCTAAGACGATGTCGTTATAAAGAGGATCTCTTAGATGATCAATTAGAGAAGAAATACATTCTTTGAGAACCTAAAAGAAAGGTAAAACATAAATTACAGACTGATTTTTGTAAAGAAAAATCCATTTGCTTGTAATGCTTAAATAAGTCAATTCAAGTTCAATTATTCTCAACATATACTGACAGGTTACTGCTAGAAGTTATACATTATTTGGTTTAGCATTTCATTATTAAGGAAATTATTTTTAAAAAATCCTACAGTATTTACAAGATTCTCCTCTTAGACTAATATGTTTTATTGATCTTTTTAAAAATTCAGTTAAAGTCTCTGATAATAATTATTGTGAAAAAGCAACAGAAATTCCCGTTTTGTTAGAAATGCTTAAAATGTCGCATTTTATGCCTAAAGTGAAGAATGAATTTAATAGGCAGATTTTTAGATGATTTAAATTAGTATTTAAGTTAGCATAGCCTCTATATAGAGGTAGTAGCCTCAACTTACAACAGTTTATTTATTGACCATTCGAAGTTCCAACAGCACTGCAAAAAATCACATGGCCATTTTTCACACTTACAACTGTTGCAGCATCCCCATGATCACATGATCAAAATTCAGATGATTGGCAACCAGTTCACATTTATGACAGTTGAAAGGTTGTGTGATCACCTTTTATGAACTGCTGGCAAGCAAAGTCAATTAGGAAGCCAGATTCACTTAAAAATCATGTTATTAACTTAGGAACTTTAGAAATTACTTAACAACTGTGTCAAGAAAATTTGTAAAGTGGGACAAAACTCACTTAACAAACTTAGCAAAATAATTTTTGCCCTCAATTATAGTCGTAAGTTGAGGACTACCTGTATTGTATTGGAAAGTTACATATTTACAGCAGTTAGGATTCAGGTCATTGAGAGTCTGACAAATTATAAATACATCCCTGTACATTAATTGAAACAAATAAAATCTAGGCACATTTTTGCAATCACAGGAAAAATGAAGTCATACATGCATGGGTGTGATTTATGGAATTATGCTGAAAATCTATTTTACGAATTCCCCAGGTACCCTTTTTGCAATATCATGATTAAAAACTGAAATTATAATCTGCATGACTCTGCAAGAATTCATCAGAACATGGTAAATCTAAATGTACAGGCTTAAATTTTCCAGAAGACACATATAACTTAATAAGAAAATCTTCAATATCACAATAACAGTCCTGCTTGTAATTACTGCCAGTTACATATGCATCACTAGATAGTGATATTCATTTAATCCATGTATAGTGTAATATGCCTAAATCAAGAAATCCATATGCACCAGCCAGAATTAAAAATAAGATGTTTAAGACAGAATTACATTGTTATACAAAACAGAGAAAGTAGCTCATTTAACTCTAACCCATTATCTGACTCTGAAGCTTCTGTTTATCTTAATTTATATTATATAATCTACCTAAACAAGTATGGAAGATTTAACTTTATATCTTTCCCTTACAAGAAAGTCTAAATTTTCTCTTTTTCCTTTTTGAGCTCATCTTACAGATCATAAGGAATACAAATCTGCTTAAACTAAATTTACAGCAAGGCACTCTTTGGAAATGCTGATCTTGCTGGTTTCTAAGACATTTTTTTAAAAAATCCTGTCTATTTTGAGACACTTATCAGTAGCATGCAAGATATTTATTCTATCTGAGTACCTCAGATATTAAAAAGTTAAGCCTACTTTTTGAGTCTTCATTCCTGTATACATCCATGTAGTTGTCTTAATTAGAACTAGAACTGTTTTGTTGGTGATTTGTTCTGTGCGATTTTTCAACATCCCAATCTGATCTGGAAATTTCCTGTTCAAAAAGCAGCCAATGCCAACCTCGGATAGCTGCTGGTTGGCCAGATATACAGGAAAATATTTCCTCTAGAAATAAGTTGCATTCTTTCTTCTGAGCAAGTAGCATTGAACATCATATTCCACAGGCCTCTACCTTGACCTGGATAACTTGTCCTTCTATATTCTCACTAGTAGAAGGAAGGGCAGCTGGCCTTATTTCTTTTAATGGCTTTCCTATCATTAACTAGAAATCAAATAGGTTTCCTAGATCAAACTGATATTCAGGATATCAAACTACTTCTGTTCATAATGTGATAACTTCATCAATATCCAAATAACATTTTGGCTAGACTAAATCTATATGTCACATATGAATCCAGACCCCCCCCCTCCCCAAGTTATTGAAAGCAGTATATAGTGATATTATTTATTAATTAAATTTGTATGCTGCTCCCCTGTAAGGCAACACTGGGCTATTTACAGACTATATTATTTGATTTCATGCTGTTAGCTGCTCTGTAATATAAGTTCTGCTGAAAGGCAATAAGTTATATTAAGTCTTCTCAATTAGGTTTATGGATGACCAGATCTGACTCTCTTTCTTTCTTTTAAAGTCTTGAAATGCCAGATCACAATATACAAAGGAAGTCTCCAAGACACCCCCCCCCCAATATCTTTAACAGAAGAATGGGACTTATGCTGAAAGTTGAAGTATATGACCTATAGTTTAAACAAAGGCTAAAATGGGTCCTGTCAGAATGGAATTATGGAAGAAATTATAGTCCCTCTGTTGCTATATATTTTGTAAATGTTCCTTCAACTGTAATTTATAAATTCCTGGTGCTCTTTTTTATTTTTTCCAAAGACTACTGAAATATATGTATCTTATAATTTTGTACTATTGTATTTTATATGGTCTAATGTGAGGTAGCACGCACTTTCTACCTACACAATGAAACTGGCTGTACATGAAACATGAAATGTTTATACTATATTATTCTTTTCTTCTTTCTTATAAAATTACTTGCTTTTCTTTAATCATAAAACATCTTTATCTTTTTAGAGGTACATATTGGGGGTTGTAAACAAAGATGTCATTTCATTAGCACAAGACATATCTGAACCAATCTAACTTTGAGATCCAAGGAAATATCCCTTTACAGGACATGATTCAACATAAAGAATGTGCTAACATTGGAAGAACAATGTGCTCTATGATGCTTGTGAGATCACTTCCAATATTAGACTGGGAAATTCAGGGGTTAGAATAACCCTTAGCCTCATTTTGCAAGCTTTGGCGCCCTTCCCTGCTTACTAGTCATGGAAAATCAGTGGCAAAATGTCAATTATCATTGCAGCAATTTGCATGTATTGTATTTATTTATGCAAGAGTTATAATAGGTTTATTAAGCCAAATGTATTGGGAAACCTCTTATCTTTGTGCAGTGAATATAATTTGAGGGCAGGGTCATTCCCTTTTAACACTTTATTACACACAATATTATGAATGGAGAAACTGAGTTTTTTTTTAATATACCATGTTTTCCCGAAAATAAGACATGCCCTGCTAATAAGCCCAATCGGGCTTTTCAGAGCATGCACCATAATAAGCCCTCCCCTGAAAATAAGCCCACTCCCAACTATTTAAGTGCATGCACAACCGGTCCCCGCCATTACCACTGTACTACCTACCGGTACAGCTTGCGGGGCAAAAAGAGGGCTCGCCGCAAAAACAGCAGCAGGCAAAGCAAAGTGCTTCCACCCCCCGCCCTTCCCTCCCACACAAAAAGAGCCCACTGCAAAAACAGCGGCAGGCCAGCAATGTAATCACCCCCTCCCATCTGTTCCTTCTCGCACAAAAAACCACCGCCCACCACCCCAATGGTAAAGGCAGCCAGCTTGGTTCCCTTCCCCGCCGTCCCTTTAACGAGAGGTGGCAGGTGGGGGGAGAAGCGAGACATGCATCCTAGTGCTACCAGAGACTGACAGCTCTGCTGCGTTCCTCACCCTTTCATCCATTGAAGCCCCTTGTAAAAAAAAACCTCATGAGTTGAACTCATGAGTTTTTTTTTACAAGGGGATTCAATGGGCGAAAGGGCAAGGAACGCAACGGACCTGGAAAGGTAAGAGGCGCGCCTCGCTTCTCTCCCCCCCCCCAACCTGCCACCCCTCGGTAAAGGGACAGCGGGGAAGGGAACCAGGCAGGCTGCCTTTACCTTTGGGGCAAGGTGGGTGGTATTGGGCTGCGAGGCATGCCTCTCACCTTTCCAGCTCTGTCGCGTTCCTTGCCATTGTGTTCAGGGAAGCCTTCTTGTGACTTCAAGAAGTTTGATTGAACTCGCGAGAAGGTTTTTTTTTTTTACCAGCTGCTTCCCTGAGCACAATGGCAAGGAATGCGACGGAGCTGGAAAGGTAAAAGGCGCGCCTTGCTTCTCACCTGCCCCAGAAAATAATAAGCCCTCCCCTATAATAAGCCCAAGGCCATATTTCATGGGGCAAAAAAAAAAGACCCTGTCTTATTTTCGGGGAAACACAGTATTTGCAAGAAAATTTGTATTAGTTTAGACTCAATAATGTTAAGCTCATATATCATATTTATTTGAAATAGACTGAAAAAAAAGAATCATTTTGCTTTCTGATTGGAAGGTTTCTGATTTTCTAACCTTCCAGGACTATCAGCAGGTGGTGTTTTCATCACTTGACTATTCTCAGATGAATGAAACATTTTGTACTTGAGATGACATTCGTCTTTTTCATTCAACATGCTCTTACTATATGAACATGGAGAGGGCAGTTAAAACTGAACCACCTACGTCCAATCCATAATCCAATAAAAATGGGAATTTGTGAATGTACAAATGGCTCTTTTTTCTACAGCAGTCTCCAAAAAGCTAATTATTATATGCAGAGTTCAATGTAGCAGATACTAATGGACAAATGAAGTTTGAAACAAAGGGTATATCTTGATCTCCCATAAATTTATAGCATGTCATTGTGGTTAGGAATGATTCACCTTTTACTGGACATGGCCTAATAATTATTTTTCTAATGAACAATGAGTCAGAGTGAAAATTTTGCATTTAAGGTGTCTAACAGTGACGTGCAGTCAGGTGAGGCACACAGCCTCACCACTGTCATCATGAAAAGAAAAAAAATTAAAAGGAAAAAGGCGAGAGCTGAGGCCAGGCTGAGCTAGTTGCACGTCGTTCTCCTGCCTCATAGTAGAGGGCGCTTGTTTGGGCGGGGCTTCTTCAGAGGATACGAGGCAAGAGCAGAGTTGAAATCCTCTCTGAAACAGCTGGAAAAGGTACGTGTGGGTCAGAGGAAGGGGGAGGAATTCAAACTTCATCCTCCTGGTACAACTTTGTGTGTCTCTGTGTGTGTGTGTGTGTGTTTGTTTGTTTGAGAGAGAGTTTGTTTGAGTGAAGAGTTGGAAGGGGGTAGGAGAGGCAGGGAGGGAAGCCCACCTTACCCGGCCGGAGGGGTGTCGTCTCCGTCTTCAGTCCAGCCTGTGGCGCTTGCAGCCCTTACCAGCTCCTCCAGGCCACGTTGTCCGGGTGGTGGCAGAGATTCCCTTTGTTCTTTCAGGCGGGAGAAGGGGGAGAAAAGCTTCCTCCGCTCCATTCGCGCCCCACCTGCATTGTCCTCACCCGACAAGTGCGTGTCCTGGATGCCGCGTAGCTCTGGTGGGCGGTGCCGTGGCTGAATCCCGGGGCGGAGGGCAGCAGGGAGGCCAGGCTGGACCCTTCACGGGGTGGCTGGCCTTCCCTGAGCCAGACCGGCCTTGGTTGACCCCGACCGGAGGGCTCGGGTGCCAAGGGCACGGTCGGCGGAGCTGGGCCGGTGCCGCTTGACTCTTCTCTGTGGAGCGAAAGGCGGATGGTGGCAGGTGGAAGCTCAGAGCCCCGGGAGCCCTTCTGCTGAGCACAGCACTCCCCCACAGCTCCTTTCGCCCTGTCTTGCAGGCGCCGCCGGCCCGGGAAGCAGCTGAGCTGGGGAGTCCCAGCTGTCAGTTCAGCTTCCAGAGCGGGCAGTGCGGGGGCCGGTGGGCTCCTCTGGGCTCCCGCCTTCCCAAAGCACGTCCCTGTTTTTGCGGAAAGCAAAAGAATGGAGAAGAAACAGGGAAGCTTCAGGTGGGAAATGAGGCCGTGGAAGAGAGTTTTGTCCTTTGCTGTTGAACGTGGATTAGTCTTGCGCCCATCCTGGAGGGATCCTACCCCGGGGTAGCTTTCAGAGACGTGAAAGGCTCTTTCCTCAGGCGGGCATCTTTTCCAATGAAACAGATCGAGACAGGAAGATCATTTTATTACATTTGAACATTCTGACTAAAACGGATTCTCTCATTCAAAGAGGGAACCCAAAGACAATCTTTCTGTCCCTTTTATCAAAGAAAATGCAAGAGAAAAGCTGATTGGACAGGGCAAAAATAACTCCTGCTTTGCACTGTAAATTAGCTACATGGAATTAAACACTACAATCCAACTTCTCTCTCTCTGTGTGTATATATATATGTGTGTGTGTGTGTGTTTGAGAGAGGGTGAGGGGAAGGGAGAAGAAAAAGAAAGAAGGAAACTTATTTAGCAAAGGAGAAAAACAAATGCTGTCGCTTTAAATCAGAACTGAGCATGCCTGGCTGTGGAATTCTGGGAGTTGAAGTCCACAAGTCTAAAAAAATTGCTGCCTCACCAGCCATAAACTTCACCACACGTCACTGGTGTCTAATCTAAAACAAACTATATAAAAACCAGGGAGGATTATATCTGATTAGTAACGGGATGTAGGGCCACTCCCCCCCTCAAAAATCCAAGCTCTAAATATTAGATTGGGAAATGAAAATATTTTGTTGAAATCACTAAAACAAGAAATTCAGTGGCTTTTAGAGTTTGCAACTCTGTAAATTGAAGCTTTGTCTTTCCCCATTTTGGCTTCATTTTAAAAAAGTACCAATGTTAAATTAAGACACCTGATTAGAGATTAATAAGTGTATCAATGAATAAATTCACTAAATAATAAATGTGTAGTGAATAGTTATTCACTAGGCTAAAGTGAAGCACAAAGAGAGGACACTCTACACTCCTGAGCATGGCTGGCTTAGGAACTCTGGGAGTTGAAGTCCACAAGTCATAAAGAGGGAATAGTTTCCCACCCTTCCTCTACATTCAGCCAACTGATTCAGCCTGTGCTGAACTTTCCTCTTTGCGGAGCTGATGTCTAATTGGTTTTCAGACTCAGCAAATCTTAATACAAAGTTCATGATTGGAGAGGCAATTTTTGAAAAGTTATGGGTAAGAATTTTAGATCCTGGCCTAGTGAGAAGTTTAATTGTTCTGGGATGTACCAAAAATACAGGCTCCTTTGACTCAAGAGCCACATGTTTTGAGTTGACTAAATGTGAAATGAACAAAAATTACCTTGGGCTGCTTTTTCTTTGCCACAGTTAGCAAAAGCTGTAGAAGATGTTGCTGTTCAGATGGTTCCAGATGAGGCATCAGTCCTACCAATTCTCTCAGGTGGTTGCTTAAAGGTTCTTGCTGCTTTTCATACAAAGAAGGCAATACACGGAGCAACGTGGAATTCCCTGTGAAGAATATTGGAACAGAATCATAACAAAGAGCCTATTCTATTTTCTCTGTCAACAAGGCTTTAATTCTGAATGGTCTCAAGCTGAAGAGATAAAGCAAAACAGAATCAGGATTTTATTTCCCATGTTTTCTAGGAACGATGTCTGTGGGAACTGAATGTTTGCACCAAAACATATGGCAGGACAAGAGAAAAACAGAAATCAAATATTATTTAATATGGAATGTGACTAAGTAAGGCAATATGGCTTTGTCTATAAACCAACATTATTTTTAAAATATTATTTAAATTGAATATTAAACGATATGGTTATGCTAACTGTTAAAGAACTATTTTTAAAAAATCTATTGTAACCTACCTATTCTCTATCCCACCTCAGCTTCAATTTAAGTAGCTTATGTTATACTTAAGCAAGCTATGCTAAAGAGAAATCTGGAAGCAATATTTTATAACTATGCATTTAACACAAAGATACACTGATAACTACATAGGATACAATTGCTCAGATGCTGATAAAGTATGGGGGGGAGTAGAGGTAGAGAGAATAAACAAGACAAAATAGTTTTACAATTTTGGAAGAATGTTTGACGAAGTGTATGCACAAGCTGAACTGAAGCCAAATTCACAGAGAAATCTGTAACATGAAACATCATACAAGCTAGCTCTGGAATGACTGAAGTTCCATGCTGACAACATATGGAAAACATCTGCCTATCATGATATTACATGGTTTCATTCTCTAAATCTTCAAAACAAACTGAAATCTTCTGTGGACTTACTTTCTAGCAAAAAAATATTCATGTTGGGCTTCTGTACTTTCTATTATTTTAAACCAGGTTAATCATCGTCTATAGGATAGCAAAATTTCAGCCTTTTTAATAGAAACATCAGTTGTTACTGCACTTTCCACCCAAATTCCTGGAATGCCTCCTTCCTCCCCCATACACATATGCACACATATACGCATGTACACACATTCACACACAAGCATATATATTTACATCCACAAATACATATTTATGCATACATACTATATCAGCATCTTGTAATAAATTTAAAACCATTACTTCTAGATGATGTCACTTTCTAATTAGCACTCCTGTCTAAGAATCATGTAGATGCGGCATTTCTCATCAAACAGATATGAACTAACAATACTTATTCACCATATCTTTGACATAAAATACTGCTTACTTTAATCTTGGTCTTAAAAATGACAGTAGACATTAGTAATGTCAGTAGATTTACTCACAATTTTTCAGTTTATTTACTAGTGGGATCCCAACATCCATGTCAAGTGAGAGATTTGTTCCTCAATGTCTTATCTTTATCTTAAGCTGCTTTTGCAATTGTAAACTGTGGAATAGGTTTGAAGGAGGTGACCAAGATTTAGAAACATAATCTTTCCTTCTGGTATGAAAAGAATTAGTAATGTTTCTTTTTAAGTTTATGTTGGCTCACAAATATTGACAGTGCACATTCATTAAACTATGTCAGTTAAATATCACATAACTGGGAGGCCTGCAGAATGATACGCACATATACAAGAAAGTTTTGGAATTTTTAAAGAAGATTTTGGATAACCATTTGTCTGAAGTGGTGTAGGGTTTCCTGCCTAAGCACGGGGTTGGACTAGAAGACCTCCAAGGTCCCTTCCAACTCTGTTATTCTGTTTAATATGTCTCTGAATACTGATTGCTGGATTGTAGAATGAATGAATTGTAGAATGAATAATCGATAAGGGCATTATTCTCATGATTTCTTCATGATTTTCTTGGAAACGTAGGGACAGATTCCAGTGGAAAACAAATGTTGGACTAAATGACTCTGATTTAGTCTGATTTAGTCTGATTCAGCAGGCTTTCTTTTATGATTATCATTCCTTATGATTGAGATTGAGATGGCTGTAATTTACATTATATTGCCATTGTTTTAATACACTCTGGCGTTAAGGATAATATTTTCTGTTTTGCAGCACTTTAAAAATATTTACATATTTACTTGCAGATGCTTCAGATGGCCTTCTGATGCAAAAGAGCCCTCTCAAGGCTATGTATAAAATATCAATAATAATATATTCAGTGCGACAAACATATAACTAATAAAAGCCAGAAATAGCCAAAGTAAAACCAAATCCAAGCATTAAAGTAAACCGCACAAACTAAAACAATTTTCTTTAAACTATTCTATAAAAATATACATTCTAAACCCACATCCTTTTTCTTCCACATTGTTTCTCTGCAATAGCCTGACATGATATCATCAAAGTATTTAGTCTAAGAATGTTCTTGAGTCAGCAAAAGACGGGGCTGGATTGCCTCATATGCCTAATCAAGGATTTTCTGCATCAGAACAAGTCAGCTACACTGACCTTAGGCCAAATACAGGATTTTTCTGATGAAGTTAAGATGAAGCTTCCAGACACATGGCAGAACTAAACACGCCTGTACATTAAGCTCTGAATAGAAGAATTTGGCTGCCAGGCCTCTAATAGATACATTCCTGCTTTAAATCTCCAGATAAGGAATCTTTTAAGTCAGACTAAAAAGGAACATACCAGAGATTAAGCTTTGACATTATTCAGCCATGTTACCAAAACCTCCAGATTGCTTTTAAATCAATGATGCTTTTCATTCCCGCTGCTAATAGAAAAGCAAATCCTGGGGTTTCCAATTTTACTATTTCTACAGCATTTAAGCAGATGTTCACTCCTAAAACAAGAGATGTCTTTTTGTATGAAACTTGGGAAACAGTTGGGCCTTATGAATTAAAAGGTATGAAGTAAAAGTTGGCTAATAGATTATTCCAGAGGGAAATTTTTGGTGAAATGAGTTATGAATGAGGCACCCTCAGTCTGCTGCTTGAAGCTGGGTAGTTTCTATTGATATTAGCACATAAGAGGTACTTTCATACCACCAAAGTTTGCCATGTTGTTTACCCAGCATACCATCAGGATTGGTTTCAAATTCATACTTTGTATATTTTGGCACAATGATGATCAATTACTGGCTGGCAGGCCAACTTAGATATATTTTTGTAAAGTTGTCACCTGTACAGTATTATTGATTTGTGAAAACATAAGACTAAAACTGGAAGGAACTTTATTTTGTAAAATAAAATATGGGCCAAACCTTTTCAGGGAAGTGTTTAAACTTTTGAAATCATATTTTATCCTTTGGAATATGGTCAACTACTGGTCATGCACTGTGTGATGCTAGCTTAAGAATACAAATGAGCAGCATTTTGAATGATGAATCAAAACCAATTGAATCAATCATGCCAATGTGTTTAACATGTGCAAATTCTCTTAGGTAACTAGCAGACATGGCCAGTCCTGAGTTACTTGAGAATAACTGGGTTAAGGAAAAAAAATTAATGCTAAGTAATTTTCCCCTCATCTACCCTAACAAAATTTGCTCCTCTGAAGCTCTTACTGTATTTTCATTTCTACCCTTTAATCCAGGATTTACATAAATAAAAGTGTGACAGAACATGCTATGAGTTCAAAGGAGTTATGAGCTGAACCCATATTTGGAATGCTGAGTTGAATGCACTCAGGTAGAAAGTTATTTCATTCACACATTTTTCATCCACACATCAAAAATAAGTCTGGAAAAGTGTTTCTGGAAAGGTTGCAAAATAATCAAATGGCATTATTTCACAGAGCAGTGGCTATTTGTACCAGCAAGAAAGATGTTATATAATGACATATCAGCATTCTCAATTGTGAGCCACACGCAGAGTTGTTTGCTGATTGGGTGGCTATAGAAATTAAATGAATGAATGGATGGATGAATGAATGAATTCCCAGTGGACCATTTTGTTATCAAAAGAAGACCATTTGAGTCTTGCTTTTATTAAAACCCTGTCGTATTTATTTATCAAATTCATATAGCTGCCCATTCTCCAGGGGGCTGTAGGCTAGAACATATGAAGAATGGTTGCAGGAATTGGGTATGTCTAGCCTAGCAGGGAGGAAAAGGATTAAGGGTGACATGATAGCAGAGTTCCAATATTCAAGGGGCTGCCACAAAGAAGAGGAGGGGTGAATCTATTTTCCAAAGCACCCGAAGGCAAGACAAGAGGCAATGTTCGGAAACTAATCAAGGAGAGACTCAAGCAGAAACTAAGGAGAAATTTCCTGAGAGTGGGAACAATAAACCAGTGGAATGGGATGCCTTCAGAAGTTGTAAGTGCTCCATCACTGGAGGCTTTTAAGAGACTGGACAGCCACTTGTCTCAAATGGTATAGGGCCATGATGGCGAACTTATGGCACACGTGCCATGGGTGGCATATAGAGCCCTCTCTTTGGGAATGTGAGCTTTTGCCACAGCTCAGCTCCATCGCGCATGCACACTTGCGTCCCGCAGATCAGCTGATTTTTGGGTCTCTGTGTGCATGTGTGTGGGGCATGTGGGAGACATGCACTTGTACAGAGCATGGGGGTCGCATGCACATGTGTGGGGTGCATGCAGAGGTCATGTGTGCATGCACAGGGTCAAGTGTGCATGTATGGGGCCCAGGGTGCATACACGGGGGTGGGGCACATGCAGGGGTGTCATGTACGCATGCAGGGGGGTATGCAGGGGGTATCATGCATTCACTGCGTAATGGGTGTGTGCTCCTGCCACAGTGCACGCATGCACAAAACAGCACACACAGACACACAACAGCACGCACACATGCACACTTTCAGCACACAGTGACAAAAAGGTTAACCATCACTGGTATAGTGTTTCCTGCTTGAGCAGGGGATTGGGAGAGTAGACCTCCAATGTCCCTTATAACTAATTTTGTTCTGTTCTGTTCATCTCGCAACTTGGGGAGATTAATAGCCCCGCAATTGGAAGGGGTATTAGTGCAGTGCACCCACCATTAATTTTGACACATTAACTCAATCACTGTCTAAGCATTCATGGTGGGCCAAAGTTGTAACTCCTCAGGCTACTGTTAAAAAGCAGTAATAGGATTATTTTATTGTAAGTACTCCTTTCCACACATATTTAATAAGTGGTTAACATGATTCTTTCCCCTTATTTCATTGACTGTTGTTTACAGCCACAGTGTCATCTATTTTATTTTATTAAATATTGATTGGGAGAGAAAGAAGGATGAAACATGGAATTGCAGTTTTGAAAGGCAACCACAAAGCATTTATCATATTCAACTCTAAAGTCAGAATTGTAGATAGTAAAAGAAGATATAGTTAATTCAAATGATTAAGTGACTTCATATTTCACAAAATATTCTGATTCTTACATAATTTACAGAAGAAAGTTCTTTTAAAACTCAATCGTTGGTCTGTGGACCAATAT